ACGTAGTAATAACCCCGGCTATCCAGACCTCAACTTCCCGGAGTCTGCTCTTTGCCAGGTCAGCCAATTAAAGAGAAAATCAACAATGTTGGAAAAGTTAGACGAAAATAAGAGCTGTAATTGAATTGCGTATAATATAAATACTGATTTATTATATATATTTTTTGGTGTCGTATGGCGTGATTAGAATGTCAGTGTTGTTAAAAAAATTGTTTCATGTTGTGGATTGCTCTTACACACTCTGGTGCGCTGCTGAAGCAATACAATATTGCATATTTGCTCACACGACAACTTTTAATTTGCCTGTGTCAGATGGAGGAGGGTGTACAACACAAATTTAGCACTTTGCTCAACATGACCTGACCCACAAATCAATCGTGAATCATGATATTGATCACAAAAGCCTATATAGTTTTATATATATATACTTTAGAATGTTACATAATATAAAATGTGTAATAAAATGGATTAGAACATGTGATATGGTTTATATGCACTTGTAAATATAACGTTTTTACAATGTGTAGTAGGTAATGTGTATTAAATTCAATGAATATGTGAATAATGGGGGAATTCATGCACCCTGAATCCGACTAATATAACCGACCAACCATCATAACTCCAGAACAACAGACGCCATTCGCCACTAATTGGCGGCGACGTCACCACAGCACTTGTGCCAGGCTAAGTGCACATTGAGGCCATGTGAAGTATCTACGGATCACTGACAGGAGGTCACAGGGCAGACCCAGTTTCTATAGGTTAACTGCCTGAGATGACTGCACAGTGCAATACAGTACACAACACACAATGCATACAATAAGTACACATCCATAATAGAGGTTTGTGGGTTAGATCGCGTAAATATATAAATGTGTCGTTAAACCCGTCCCCCACCTGACACAGCCAACTAGTAAGGGTTGTCACGTAAACAGAACGTGGCCAATTCGTCACTAGTACAGCACGCCGGTGTGTTGGAGAGCCAAGCCACAACATTTACAATCTGAGTACGACGTTTCGCCAGTAATTACAACTAGCTTCATCAGGCGACAGACAGATTTCTGGCTGTCGCCTGGCTATGGATTTGAGGTGGATCGCAGCACAAAATGTTGAGAAACTCCCTTCCCGTGTGCGTCGAGGTGCTGCACACTGGTTCGCCAGGAGAAGGCAATACAGTGAGTGGACCAATCGCCATCTGTTTCCATCTGTACAGGGATAGAGTGTTGCCACCTTTGCATGCGTGGGTTTTCTCTGGATGCTCTCTCTGGTTTCCTCGCACTTGTATAATGAACGCTCGTCGTTAATTGTCTGAAAACATATTAAAATAAAACCCAAATGCAAGACCCTCAGAAAAAGGAGTCATGTGACTCAGTGCGGTTGTCCTGGATAAATAAGTAAAAAAAACATAACGAAGAGGCTTGCAAGCAGTACAATGGATACATGAGACATCAAAAAGGGTAATGACAAATATTTTCTGTGACATAGGTTCAGGCATCAGCGCAGTGTTCTCTTGTATTCAGTGAAATGTTCACAGCTGTGGTCTAATATGCAGCTCATCAAAGACGGACGACGCGAGATTTGACTCAGCAATATAACCCTCGTGTGTTTAAGATGATATACACGCAATTTTAAATATTGTCTTTCTCAACCTTCTCATTTTTAAGTATATGCTGCTGTTGCATAGCATATTGCCAGCAATTTGTTTTGTCGTATTGATCCTAATATTGCACGTTTACTTCGGGCAGGAATTAAAGTTAGGCTTTATCCTCTTATCAGTCACACTCACATAGGCTTGGCGTTCTTTGTAATTGGAATGGCCATCATCATTGACAGCCTCATCAACATCAGCACCTGCAACAAATTGCTTGCTGAAGATACAGGGCAGCATCAATCTTAAAACCCCAACACTGTGGCTTTATCAGTTTACCAATCTTTCCCAATTCATGTTGTCAAAAATATGATTCCCCTGCTTAGTATTAACACTTATCGATTACACATTCAATAGTGCTGTTTGTGACTGGCCTTTTGGGCACTTTCCAGCCTTTGTCCCCTGTGCTCAACTACTTTAATGTCCCTGTGTGAGTCGTCAACAAACCATCATCTAAATATAAAATATATTTTACTGGGCATGCTCAGCATATAAGTTGACTTTTCTACGTGTGGTGGGGCATCACGGTAGCGAGATGTTAACTACCTCGCCTGGTATACAGGATGTCGTCTCATCTGTGGCCTTGTGGATGTTTCTCCGAGTCCTCTAGTTTTGCCCTCTACATTTAGAAAAAAAATGCGTTTCGAGTATTTAGCTGCGATACATTTTCACGCGATAAGCCACTTAGTTGAGCTGTCATTAGTGGCCAGGTCGCTTCTAAAAAAGAGATATATAGCTCAGCGGGCCTTACCTGGTAAAATAAAAAAAATAGTTTATAGTTTTTTTTTTATGGCTGTTTATTGATGGTTGGTTATGTATCTCAATAAAAAATATACACACAGCCTCAGCATATATTTAAGCCATTGTTTAATGTGGTATTGCTATGCACCACACTGCATATGCAGTGCCTTCGTGTGCACATTTTATACGGCAATGGGTGCAATATAAAATCAGGATAGTATGGCATTTTTAGTCACGTTAATTTAGCATGTGCTTTGCAATGTACTCTTTCAACTACATATTTTGCAAGTTCAGTGCATGGGGAAGTGCTGTTTTTATGTACAGGATATATACTGTAGGTTTCATTGTATTGAATGTTTAATGCATGCGAGTATGTTGAAAATCATCTTCAATACCAACATGCCGTTTGTGTGCGTTAAGACATTGAAAAAATAGGTGCCATAAAGTCAATTTGTGAGAATCGTGGTGAAGTGGCTAACACTCTTCGCCATGAAACCAGAAACCTGAGTTCAATTCCCACGCAATAGCTAACATCAGTTCAGTTAATTCAAACCGGTGAGGTGAAATGCCTGTTTAACACGTAGGCTTTCGCGACCAATATCATTCATAATAAAGGTTTTTGGGTTAGATCGCGTTATTTATAAATGTGTCGTAAACCTCCACCCCCGACACCGCCAAACAGTAAAAAAAAAGTGTCACGTTTACAAAGGACAAATAGTTCACTACTTTAGCCCACCGGTGTGTTGAAGAGTGAATCAACATCATTAAAAAATTTGAGTACGACGTTTCGCTGGTAATATCATTCAGCTTCATAGACAAACGACCATTATTTCATTCAGCCTTTCATTCAGCAGTGGATTTGCAAAGGGGATGTGCAATTAATGTTATGACTGTTATTTTGTAAAACCAAAAAATGTCTACACACAAGCATTTGCTCTTTAAGACTATTCGGAAAATCAAAACGTACTGTGCAATGGAGCTTAATGCGCTCGGCATGATTTTCAGAATTTCGGATGAATCTGAAAAAAAACAGACAATTGGGCCTAGACACGAAATGTTCGATAATCCCAAGAAAATATATTAGAAAAATCCGAAAAATATATGTCACGGGAAGTTATGTTTACATCCATGACATCACACCAAGTAAATTTAATGATAAAAAGCATTGGAATATGAAAATATTTCCCTTTTTTTATCTGATGATATTTGAAGTAAAAACTTAATATGCAACAATAAATATGATAAAATATGAAAACTCGATACATTTACATCCGATAAATGTTAACAAAATCAAAGATTGTGCATACAGATTAAAGAATCCCGAAATTGTAAAACATGAAATCCGAAACTTCTACCGAGTATGCTCCACATTATTTATTTCAGATTTCTTATCTATTTCCAAGGTGCGGTATTTTTGTGACTCTTCATAAATAGTCATATGTGCACACAGATTGTATTGAAAGGTGGACTGACAGATGGATGAAAAAAATCACACCCAGGTGTCACTTAAAATTGGAAACGACATATACATATTCTTGCATGAGGAATAAGGAACAGTAGTGTCCCTGAACATTTTACAAGCATCATAGCACTTTTAAAAATTGTCTTACGAGACAAACTTTAGTTGTATTTGTCTAAGGCATGGACAGTTTACTCAATTGTGTATAGGACTGCATTTTTCAAGACACCTTTTAAGGGTTGTACACTTTTTAAAGTATGTCTTGATGGTTACTTGAGTTGTGCCACCATTGCAAAGGCAGACTAAACCGACACAATCTCATGCAAAACGATGTGGATTACTTCAGATCCTTAAAGGATCGTTTTTTTCAGTTTGACTTAAACAGTTCAGATCTGGCATGTCACGAAATTGATCATTTTTACAGTGCAATGTGCAATTTTTAGAATGATTCTAGCTTGCAGTAGCGGCAAAAGCAAAATCGCATTTCACCCAACCGAGCGGAGCCATTCTCCCCCATATCGCCCTCCGTCCGCTTGTCTAGACCATGTTTCAGTTTTATACGAATGCACAATCTTGGCCGAGAACACTGGCTGCCAAGCACACGTAAGACAAAGACAAAGCTCACCCTTATAACCTGCACCGACTTTTGGGACAAGTGCTGTTAGCGAGCACCTATGAAGGCCAGCACGGTACACGAGGGGGTGGTTAGCAACCACCACGCCCGACCGCCTTTGTCTCCCCAGTGGCAATGTTTACACACCATACCAGGTACTTATTTGAGGCTGAGTCGACATAGTGGAGGTCCAGAACCAATTCGGATCATCGTCACTGTTGTTGGTCGTGAGCAGGATTCGAACTCTGTTTTGCCGGGTTCATTTCTAAATTGAAAACTAATTTATTGAGAACTGCTCTTTGTGTTTAGTTTGTTATCCTTCCTCCGCACTTCCGACTTGCACGGTTGATTGCGTACCGTCCGAACGAAAATTCAACATACATTCACATGCATAGCACACAACACGAACCACCGCACCATCGTTCCCCCCCCCCCCCCCAGCCCCAGCCCCAACCTACGGCGCATACACACGAGTGGGCAGGAGCGACCGCAGCCTCGGCACAGGGACAGCGAGTGCTAAAGAAGGGAGGCCACCTCACCTCTGACCATCAGCATGGCCCAGGCCGACGTGTTGTCCACGGACGTCTGGGCGGTGCACGTGTAATTACCGCGGTGGCGCAGCTGCAGCCGCTTGATCATCAGGTCTCCGACGTTTTCCCTCTGCTGCAACGGGAGGAGAGTGCGAGGTCACTCGTTTGCGATTTAGAATGCACACACACACACATGGTAATCGTCCACGACATGAAACGCAATCTGCGTCGTCGTCATCATTATTACCATGATAATCATCATCACGATCATCGTTGGCACGTGTACGTGTGCAGCCCTTTGTCGATCCACTGCTGGATGAGGGCCTCCCCACGCCGTACAGTTTGAGGGGAGTTATCTGGCTATACTTCATTAGGCTGGACAGTGTGGGTTGATGGACGTGGGAGTCATATACTTTGAAGCAGAGAATTACCAAACAACAATAATCTCGCTCTACTGTCCACCACGTAGCCTCACAGCCTGTAACACCTGTTATGAATGATGGTCGCCTGTCCAAGCATTATCCAGGGTCAACTCCGCTTAGCTTCCGGACAAGATAGGGTTTAATACAAGTAGAGAAAATCAAAAAGTGTCATGTAAGCAGTGGATCAAGTACAATATCAAGCAGTAAATTAAATATTCAGCACGTAAAAATCAAACAGCAATAAATGTGACACAAACGAATGAAGAATAGACAGGCTCTCAATCCAGCACTGGGTTGAGGAGGGTTTGTAGATCTCGCAAATTCGTTAAACTTCCATCCCGTGGGCATCAAGAGGTCACTATCTCCTGGCTTGCCATTGTATGGCAGTACAGCAAGTTGGAGTCATATTCATCTTTAGTTAATTTGAATGAGGATTGAGTTTTACCCCCCTTTCACCCGTGGGGTTATTTAGCTTTTTTTCCGGGCACTCCGGTTTACTTCCGCACACATAGGAAACATTAATTAATGGAGTTGGACAAACATCCCAATACAGGACCACAGAGCTAGGGAACGTTTTGGTGCCGATCCTGGATGCCTTCTCACTTTGTCTCTGGTTTCCTGCACCTCTGAATCATTTTCTCTCTCAAAGGCAAGACAAATACCCCCTCTATAGCCTTTACAAACTTTGGGGCCAAGTTTCTGTTCGCGAGCACCGACTGAGGCCAGCAGAGCACACGAGGGAGTAGGAGGTCACCACAACGCCCTGTCGGCTTTTTCTCCCAAATGGCGATGTTTACACATCGCACCAGACACTACTAATGTGAGGCTGAGTCGACCGAGGGGAGGTCCAGGACTGGTTCAGATAATCGTCCCTGGTGTTGGTGGCCGTGAGCGAAAATCTAACTTGGGTCGCCGGGTTCGTAGCGCAGCGCGCCAATCACTGTTGCCTACAACAAGATATATATACACACACACAAATTGATGCAATAAAACATATATTACGTGTAATTGAAACAGTATTCATTATCATTAAGATATACAGATGCATATGTAGATGCAATAACCCACAGCCAGACAAACGAAGATCACCTTCAGGATTTGTAGGGTTCATTTTCATATCCAGAGGCTTGCTGAGCCAACCTTCAGCTTTCTTGAAATTCTTTAGATTAACAGCGATTGTCCAAGGTTTACCGAGCCAAACTAAAGCACCTTTAGGATACTTCGGTAAAATGTTACTGTCCAAAGCTCGTGGTGCCAGATATTCAGGATTCTAGTGATTCAATACCATTCCGCCAGGGCTCACGGGCACCAGATAAAATCACTTGCATAATTCCTAGGGTTCTGTACGAATACCCAAATCTCAGAAAGTCAGAATCAAGAGTGGCGTAGGAATGGTAAAACCATCTAAATACCGTAAGCAGTACGAGGTGATGCTAAGTATATGCACAGACTCATGGTTACCATTTTCTTTCTCAAGACATAAACCCTGATGTAAACGCACTGCATTATTAAACAATTACTAATTCGAATAAATGAGCTTCATTAGCGCCTAAAAAAAACGTGCTGATTATATGTATGAGCAAACTTATCTCGCGTTCTCTCCAGTGTTGTATAAATCCTGACAGTGCGGCGTGCAATGTGGAGTCTACAAGGACGCTGAACCAAAGGTTTTGGCTGCAAAGACGACACATTCAAATGGCTCTTCTCCTAGTTAGGGTAAAGGCACTGTTACACATTCTCCTTCAAGGAATATCGTGAAGCAGAAGATTAGTGCTGGTTACAGCCATATTTGAAAATAAAAATTGTAACTTTGGTCCGTACCTGTGTAACGATAGTTCAATGTTAATGTGCCATTTTACTGAGAGGCTACTGTGTGTTATCTTGGTGTGGTCTGGGACATGTTTTGCTGTTATTTTTACTACATTTCCCAAGCTTGATGAATCGGACTTATACAATATTTATTTTGTCGCGACTTGCTTACATTTTTCTCTATTTTGCACTCCTAGCGTTGTTTTTAGTGTTTGTTGTTGTAACTTGCTGACATCTGTGGACGAGACCTTCATAGCTCATGAGATTCCTCCAGTCCTAAATACGGATTCTGATTCTGATAGAGAGAGACAAAGAGCTCAAGAGAGCTCAAGAGAGACTGTACAGCCTATGCCTAACCCTTCTACACTGGCCAGATGTATTAAAAGAGCTGGAAGTACCCGAATGTCTCCCCCCCCCCATCACGTGACCAGCTCAGTCGACAAACCGTGGCGTGCTCATTGATACTGCTGGGTGGACAGCGGTGGCGGGGATTCAAGAAAATTGCACCACTGATTCAGCTGCCGCGCCGGGCGATTGAATTGAACTGGCAACCATTGGACTGTGAGTCCCGTAACCTCACCGTTAAACCACAGCGGCGTCCCCTAAAGTAACACTATCTCTTATTAGTTATTATTATTATTAAAAAAAACTAAATCGTTTAATTTCTTTAAAATCCACAGCTTCACATGCAGATACCAATAAAGCAAAGGCGAAATTGCATGTTAGTTACATTATTATCCATTTAGCTCTTTGCTTGGCCTCACACACACTATTTGCATATATTGTTAGAGTGTTGGATTTCATTAGCTGTATGACTACACTACAATTTGAAAGTTAATTTCAAATTGCTTAGGCTGGGTGAACATATGATAAAATTCTCCTTATCACACTTCTGGAGTTCAAGGAGGTCAATTGAATTGGTAAGTGTTGCTTGAGGCAACGGTATATAAATTATACAGACTGGTGTGAACTGTAGGTCAAAACCAAAAAATAATTATGTAAATTTTTTATCAATGTGCCATCACGTTAATTAATTGTTAAATTAAATTGACTTAGAATCTTTTAATAATAATAAATGACCTCACCTAAACGCCGAATATTTTTTTTTATATACTGGTCAATATTACAATTAAGTTTGCTCTACATGTCCATGGATGTCTAATTGGCTATAACCCACATCAGAGGTAGCATCCAAGGGCTTCAATTTAACCTAAAGCTGACCAGGGCTTAGCTCTGGAAAATATGTTCGCACCCGGCACACCACATCCATCACACATCTCGCTACGGCCGTACCTCACCACTAGTCACGTGTCACCTCCTGGACTACCAACGCCCCAGTAAGACATTACTGTGTCCACGTGTCTCAGTGTGTCGCTGAGTTTCCAAACGTGTCTCCGCGTGTATCCGTGTGTCTGCGCGTGTCTCCAAGTGTATCTTAATTGCAAATCTGCTTGTAGATCCATTTGGCACTCTGAAGTGTTGGATTTTTAAATGTTTCAAATGAAGGTTTTTGCTTAACCCGCTGAGCAAAACAGTACGAATGCACCTGGGCATGCCTTTGAGGTCCATATCGGACTGGGACCAGGTGTCCCTTGCAGGAAAAATCCTGAAAACTTGGCAGGAATGTGGAATTGAACCATCAATTGGTTTCACAACACGTACCCCGAGACCGACAAATGCACGACAACATCAGGGCACTTTGGGAGTAGAAGTCACATTCAATGCGCATCCAGTGGAGTCAGGAATGTGAACTTGAATTGATTTTCACAACATTTGAAATGCTACGTGAATTAATGAATTAAATACCAACACTCGCCACCATTAACATAAGGCGAGTGTTCCTTGATGCACACAGTGTTGCGTTTAGAAAATGAGACCTTGCAATAAACAGAGTGGAAATAAAGTAAGTGAATACACCATAGGACCGAGTAAAAAAAAATGTGACAAGCCTGCCAAAGATCTATGAAAAGAAGAATATTAGGAGTAAGTCGATAAAGATAGGTTATAGAATGAAGACATAAGGGAAAGAACAGGTTGTAACCGATGGTGTTGTTAAGGCTAAATAACTCTAGTGGAAATTGGCAGGACACGTCACGAGCACAACGAAGAGGAGACAAAGCTAACTCGGGAGTGAAGAGCGCGAGAGAGAGAGAGGAAGAGAAATGGGGGGAGACAAGCGGAAGAGGCAGCAGCAGCAGAGACGACATCACAGAGTTCGGAGGCCACGACTGGACACGCTCAACGAAGGAAAGAGGGACATTGATGTCAGTGGAGGAGGCGGTTGCCGAGTAGTGGGAAGTTACGACGACGATGACGACAACACCTGGCAGCATGATATTAACTCGGACTTGCTTCCAAGCACAACAACTATTCATAAATGCTGAGTTTCGCAATTCAATTTGCTTCACTTTGAGACAATCAAACCTGTCGCCAGCCTGTTCAAATCACAATGCAATTCTCGCAAAGGAGATAAGGTCTACTATACGAGAAAGTCAGTGTTCGTGATTTAAATTCAACGATGTTCAATTTTGAGAAATGGGCTATGACATCTTGTCACGTGGGTTTACTGCTTTGAATACTATCACAGGATGTTTAACACCCATCTTACAGTCGCCGTGCATGGGTAATCATACAAAGGGCAGCGTACTTCAATAGGGATTACCCTTGGTAGGGCTATTTTAATAAACACAATAGACAGGAAGGACAAGTTCAAAGGGCTCGCATAATGCACATGCATAATGTACGTTGCCTCAGTAATCCCCCCCCTCCCCCCACATTGTGCAAGAGCGCAGAAGCGTGGTCACCACATCTACGCCTCTATATAAGGAACGAAACAGTAAGACTTCTCCACAAATCTGGCTGTCGCCTGATGAAGCTAGTTGTAATTACTGGCGAAACGTCG